CGCCGCCCTTCTCGCGCCCACCCCTCACCCTTCGTCCCCCTCCCCCACCTCCCGCCCCTCCGCCTTCCCAGATCTCTGCGCAGCACGCGCCCAAGAGCCCCGACGGCAAGAGCTGGCGGCCAGACTACCACACAGAGCTCTACAAACTCACAGACAGGGCCGTCAGGGGTGAGGCCCGCGCCGAGGGCGCGCCGCGCGCTCCCGTGCCCCACGCGCCGCGATCACGTGGGACGGGGGAGGCGCGCGGTCCCGCCCGCGCCGCCGTCCCGCGCTTGCCCGGAAGCTCCCCCGCACGCGCGGTGTGCCCCTGCCCAGCGGCCGCCGCTGGCCGCCACCCTTGAGTGGCCCCATCCTCTGCGCCATACCCTGCGCCCGCCCAAGTCTCCACACATCCCCTAGTGACTTGCATGCATGTGGCTGGATGCAGACCAGCTGCCCCTATGCAGCACATAACGCCCGGTCGGCTGGCAGCACACGCCGCCCTCCACATCTGCCTGACGCTCGCGCACCCACACACATCAAGCATCCCGCCCCGTGCTCCCCCGCGGGCGTCGCACGCCTTGTGCAGCGTGCCCCCGCGGCACCGACTGGCTGGTGGTTACTAATGGGGACAACCTGTACGACCCCTCATTCCTGGGGAGGCTGCTGTCGGAGGCGGCCGCGGGCGGCGGGGCCGACGCGGTGGCGTTTGATTACTACTCGCGCTTCCTGCGCCCCACAGGTCAGCGCCTCACGACGTGTGTCGCGCGTATACACATGTGATCGCCTCATGAGGCCACCCGGCCTCACATGTGATCTCTTGAAAGCTCGTCCGAGGTGACACAACACACACGCGCGCCCGCGCACGCACGAGTCGCTCGCCCCGCCGGCCGCCCCGCGCTCGCCGCCGCCAGACGCCGCGCCGACCCGCCTTTGCGCCCCGCCCCGGCAGGCGAGCCGTGCGGGCGCTTCGCGGCGGCGCAGGGGCGCGGCAGCTGCAAGCCCAACCTGATGAGGTGGTGCCAGACAGACCTGGCGGCGACGGCCTACAGGTGGCCCAAGTTTGTGGGCAGGGAGGGCGGTGATAACATGCTGTTCGGGGTGCTGGACAAGGGCATTAGTCACGACGGGCAGATGGCGCAGCAGGCCGTGGCGCGCGGCTGGAAGGTGGGCGGGCACCACGCGGCGCCGCGCGGCGGCACGGCGCTCCGGCCGATGGCCGGCGGCTGGGATGCGTGCGCACCCCGCTCGGAAACATGGTGTACGCCTGCGGGGCCGCCCCGGCTGGCGTCGCCCCGCCTGGGGGGCGACGGCGCCCCTTCCCCCGCCTGCCTGGCTGCCTGCCTGCCTGGCTGCCTGCCTGCCTGGCTGCGTGCCTGCCTGCCTGCCTGCCTGCCTGCCTGCCTGCCTGCTTGCCTGCTTGCCTGCCTGCCTGCCTGCCGCGCGACATCATGTGACGCCGGGCTCATGCGTCCGCCGGCCTGCAACCCCTCTGCCCACGCCGCAGGTCCGGCGCGTGGACGACGCCTGCCTGGTCGACCACGCGCCCAGCCCCCAGCTATGCGCCCTCGCCGGCCGCGTTTGGGACGACCGGGAGGCGGCCACGCCCCACGCGACGGGCGGCGCCTGCGTCGGCGCGGCGCGGGCGGCGGCGCTGCTGGCGCGGGCGGGGGTGGAGGAGGTGGAGGTGCCCGTCGCGCACGACACGAGTGAGGGTCGCGAGGGCGGGCGGGGGGCCGCGGGCGGCCGGTACCGGGGGCCGGGGGCTGCGGGGAAGCCGCAAGGAAGCTGCAGGGGCGAGGGCGGAGAAGCGTGCGTGCGGCGCGACTCGCTGCGCATGATGGGGTGGGGTGTCCAGCCCGCCGGCATCCCTGCCATGTCCTGTGCTGTCGCCGCGCCGCGGCTGCGACTGTCCCCCAGACGCAACCCAACCGCGCGGCGCACTGCCGCCTGTCCACCGGCCCGTGTGCTGCCTGGCCTGGACCTTCGCCTGCCCACGCGGGTGTGTTGATTTCTCCTCTCCCCTTGCACGCGCCCCGCCCAGGCTTCGGGCTACCAGAGGGCCGCCTGGCCCTGCGTTGCCTGAGGATGGCAGACAAGGGGCAGTGGGGCCAAATGCTGGAATTCTTCTCGAAAGGCTGCGAGGAGCCGCCTCCAGAGGTCGTCCTGGAGGAAATCGTTGAGGGCGGCGCGGCGCGCGACCCAGAGCCTCCGGCCGCTTGAGTTGCTTGACGGGCGTGCGCGCCGCGCGCGGCGACCTCGAGGGCCGGGGCGTGCCGCCCGGCGCCGCCGGCGCGTGGTGAGGGGCGGGCTCCCTTGTAGGATCCCTGTGGGCCGCGGCCCCCTGCCCCACCGACAGCCTCTGGCCGGCTGACAGCCTCGAAACGTGCCCGCTCGCTCGCGCCGACGGGCGCACGACGGGGCGGCGGTCGGAGGTGTGTGGGCCCCTGTCGTCTTCGCGCCGCGGACGCTGGTCCCCCTTCGTTGTGCCTTCAAGGAGTGAGAGCCTGCAGATAGATGCTGGACCAGTCCTCGCAGTCAGGGCACTTTGACGACACCATCTAGTGTTCAGCTAGTGTGACACCTTTTGAGTGCCCAGCTTCCCTCGCTCACAACATCGTAACCGATTCCATCCGTTCCCCTGTGACTGGTTACGGAACGCGATTACGGTTGTGATGCTGCGCATGCTGTGCGCGTCCTGATCAACTGGCAGCTGCCACCAACAACTTTGTCAGATCAGTGTGTTCAGCTGTGCCTACAGCCATGCGCGATTGTCGCAGCCATACCTGCATCATCACAACCACAACCGCGACCACCACCACAACCCTTTTTAAGTTAAACTTGACTCACCAACGATGGCCACCCAGCCCCACACCTACGTGCTGTGGAACGCCATCAATTTCGGTGGTGCAACCGAGCGAGGCCCCCTGACCCACGTGGATGCCCCACCCAAGATTTAGAGGTGCACTTGCGGCCACCAACCCAGCACCACACACAGGCTTCGATTCTGCGGACGACCCAGATGCGGGGGCTCACTTCTGGCTCATGCGGCACCCTGCTTTCGTAGCTCTCTTAGTATGCAGTAATGAGTTTCGTGGCAGCCCACTCCAGCGCAATGAGCATGCTGGATTCTCACCTGATCATCACCGGCAGACAGGATATCAATCCTACTCGTGTGCATGTGGCCGCATCAACACGTACTCTCCAAGCGGCCAGTGGCTTGGGCAGCCCGGAAGCCGCACGCCCTGCCAACGTCCCCCCTCCCCAGCCACGGCGGCCCGCGCAGGAATGCGTCAGGCAATCATGCGCCGTCAGATCGTTGTGCCTGCGCAGTTGAGCGGCCGGCGCCCCAGCACACAGGGTAACCTGCAGAGAAGTTCCCAGCTGCCGCGGGCGGCGAGAGCTGCGCATCGTGCAAAGTCGGCGCGCGGGGCGCTGCGGCATCAGCCGCACCCAGGACAACGACATGTGATGTAACCCGTGTCTGTTGGCATTGCCTGTGATCGATCACGCAACACGGCTTGTTTGGCATGCAATCAGGGTGGCCGCGGACAACAGGAGGATGGAGGAAAAGTCGGCAGGGACCTGGAGCCTGATGTTCAGGAGGACCGTTTTGCAGGGTCGATGGGCGTTCCTCCCACAACTTTCAACCATCATGAAATCATACGTCCTCTGTTGAGGTATGTTTCTCAACCCCTGAGCTCATTTGCGGCGGGTTGCGCACGCGCTGCGCTGCGGCACACGTTTGAATGTCGTTTGTTGTGCTGCAGCTGACACATCTGCACTCTGAACAGCTTGATGCCTTTCAGCTTTGCTGCTTGGTTGATATCAAAGATGTCAGGGCATCTGTCCGAAATTCAGACTGGTGCGAACTACAGATTTGGCTTGAGTGAGGCATTCACGATCCTTTTGAGCCGAAACATGATCAAATGGAATTCATAGCATTACATCCGCGGGCGTGTTGAAGCAGCTGGACGCCCTGACGTTGAGATCGGGCCCCAGGGCCACAAAAGCAGAATTAGCGAGATGAAGATGCAAAGTTGACTAAATAAGCGAACGGGACACCCAGTTAGGCACCGGGCCCGGGGGGCTGTCCCGGTGTTTCGCAGCACGTCGGTCGGGGGGCGCTTCTTGGAACATGGGAGGCTGCGCATCCGCACCCGTGGACCGATGTGAAGACCTCGTGCCGCCTGACGCGGCGCATGCTACGCACCAAAGCCGCACCAGCATATCGTCGCGCGCCGATAGCAGCACGATTGCATCGCCGCACCACTCCAATGGGTCATCATCTATGCGGCTGAGCCTGCTTGGCAAGGTGTGCAAGGCTCCTGTTGCCTCCCATCTGCACTGTGGCGTGCGCACCCACAGCGCCTTGTCTGGCGGATGACTAGACGTCAGTCAAGCTCTCCAGCGAGCAACGCGTGCGGACCCGCCGCGCCCCCGTGCCATGCAGCGGCCGCGCACTGCCCTGGCGGGAGCCTGACACGCGCGCATGTGCGTGTATACACACCACGGCCGCGGCGCCGCACCACATGCGCAGGTGCATGCGCTGCAGCTCGAGCTGGCTCTGCTGCCCAAGCAGCCGCTGCTGGCGCTGCCAGAGGCGGCCGAGCTGCTGCGGCTCCATTTGAACGTCGACTTTGTCAGGTGCCCCCCCCCTTGCCGCCGGCCCCTGCATGGGGCCGTAGCCCTCGCCTCCCCTGCAGCCGCGACCTGCTGGGTGGCAGGCGGGCGGCTCCTCTGGTCCCCCCTTTGCCGCTGGCGTGCCGGTGGGGCATGCCACTAGGCGCAGCCACACCGCATGGCGCGTGCGACCATATAAACAACAAGCGCGTGCCACCGCTTGCTTGCCCGCGCCGCAGCATATGCGTCTACTTGGACGACGAGCCGAGCTGCGCCGTGGCGCTCGCCGCAAACGGCCCAGGCGCTGCGGCGCTGCAGCAGCACACTGTGATGCGCGGCGGCGGGTGGAGCGCCGCGCGGCTGGCGGAGGACGGCGCAGCGGGCCGCCTGTATGTGCCGGATGCGCGCGTGGAGGACAAGGTGTGAGACGTGGGCGCGTGCTTGGGCAGGCAAGGGCGCTGCTGGGGAGAGGCGGGTTTGGTTGATTTTGGAGGATTGCATGGTGCACGATCGTGCGGCGAGGGGCAGCCGTCCGAGTCACATGTGTTGCGGGCGATGGCATGCGCGCCGCGGCAGGCGCGGCGAGCGCTGCGGCTGGTGCGGCAGGTGCCCCGCGGCCGGAGCCTGCAGGCGTGCGGCTCGATCGCGCTCACGGCCCTGCGCCGCCCCCCGCCCGCCCGCGGCCGTCCGCCCCTTGAGGCACCTGGAGGAGCGCCAGCCCGGCCCCCGCTCGTGCGACTCACCTGCCCCCGCGCCGCGCGGCGAGCTGTCTGCGCCCGTTGAACGGACAGCCTGCATCCCTTGCGCGCGGCTCGCAGGGCGCCCTGCCGACGGACTTTGCCGCGCTGCATGCTGAGGCCGGCCTCAACTGCTTTGTGGCGGAGCCCATAGGGCTGCGCGCGCGGCCGCTGGGCGCGCTGGTGCTGGGCAGGCGAGAGGTCGGAGGCTTTGACGACAAATGGTGGGCAGAGGTCGAGGGGAGGGGCACCCACCACAGCGCCAACCCCCTGCCCTCTGTGCTGGCTTTTACTGTCCTTGGGCACTGCGGGGCTCCAGCACTGGGCGCGCTACGCGCGGCCGCTCCTGTAGAGAGCGCGCGGCGCCCACGGCTGCATGGCGGAGAGCCGTGGGGGCCTGCCCGGCGTGCAGCCAGGTTGCAGCCGAGCATTGTACGTCCGCTGTGGGGCGGAACGAGACCCGCCACTTTGCCCGCCACTCCCCCGCTGATTAATCCGCCCACCAACCGCTGGCCAGGTCGGCCTGCTGGCTGAGCGCCGCCGCGACGGGGCTGCTGCAGCACCTGCGGTCGGAAGCGGTGGCCAAGGCGGCGCGCGCGCTGCGCAGCGTGGAGGCGGCGGCGGACCCGGCGCTGGCCATCAGCGTGCTGCTGCAGGTGCAGGGGTTTGGCGGCGCGGGCCAGGTGCCGTGCAGCACGCATGAGCTTGCTCGTAACGTAACAGGCGGCGGCAGCGGCGGCCGCTCGCAGCGTGGCCTGGAGGGAGGGGCCCCTTTGGCAGGCCTCCACGCTCGGCCGCCCGCCTGGGGGCACGCAAGCAGGGCAAACCAATCAGGGGGGCCTTGACAGCGCGCCTTTGCACGGCGCCCGAGCGCGTTTTCCCCCGCACTTTGCCCGATCCGCCCCCGCTCCTGATAGCCCCAGGCTCGTCCTCTCACCACCCTGCAGGCCCCACACCCCATCCTTCAACCAAACCCAAAAGCCCCGCGCCTCATGTTTCTCTCCCGGCCCCATCGCAAACACCCACCCTGGCCCCCCGACCCCGCCCTTCCGCCGCCAACCTCCCCTGCGCGCAGAGCGGCGCCGCCTTCATGCTCCGCGCCACAAACCTGCCCATGGGCGTCCGCCTGGCCCTCGTCCAGGAGGGCTGCGATAAAGCGCTCCTCTTTGAGTCCTCCCACGCCGCCGCCGGGCGCCCCGCCGGTCTCGGCGCCGCCGGCGCGGGCGCCGCAGCCGGCGGGCAGGGCGGGGCCGCAGCCGCTGCCGCGCCCGGGGACGGCCCCGGTGGTGCGCCGGCGCCGCAGGACGCGGCGTCGGACCTGACAGTGCGGGAGCTGCCGCTGAGCAACACCCTGCTCGCGAGCGCGGTGGGTGGCGATCGGCGGCGGGAAGAGGTTGGGTTTTGTGCTTTTGACAGGGGGCGGGGCAAGGGCGACGCGTAGTAGACCCATTGTCGGTGCACGCCTGGTGCTTCATGGAGGGGCGCCACGAGACCGGCGAGTTTTCTGGTGTCATGCAGGCCCCCAAAGCAAACGACCGACAGCCTCCGTCTTGCGTGAACGACCATCCCCTACTTTTGCTCCCACAGATGTCCCACAAGAAGGCGCGGTTCATAAAGGACTGCGCCTCCTACATGCAGAACTGCCCCGTCCCCGCGCGCGACGTGTTCACCCACGCGTCGCAGACCGTGGCGTCGCTGGTGGTGGTGCCGCTGCTGGCGGACGACGCGATGCTCGGGGCGCTCTACTTCACGCAGGACAAGCCGTGCGACTTCTCAAACATACAGGACGCCCTGCTGGTGCGCCGGCCGGCCTGTGCGGCTGCGGCGTGCTCGCGCCCGCGCGGAAAGGATGCGCGTGTGTGGAGTTTCACCACGGAGGGGTGCCGTGGAGGGGTGCCACGCGCAGCTGCTTTTGGCCGAATCGTGGCCTGGGCGTGTTTCCCACGTGGTTGCGATCAACAAGACTGTGTACATGCGCTCACACGTACGCGTGCATGCACGTACACCCCCCCCCACACACACACACGCACACACACATGAGTTTTCATCTATGCGCACACAACCACACGTGTCGCACCCATCCATCCTTGCGCCTGTCCACATCGCATGCGCATGCACTGCAGCACATGCCGTTGTGCTCCAGCTCCTACCCCCTCCCTCCCACCCCAACCAACCGCAGGGCTTCGTGCACTGCATGGCCCTCACTCTCCACAAGAAGTTGTGCGGTCAGATGTCAGGGCTGCAGGAGATGGTGGTGGAGGTGAGTAGGACACACACATGCACACAAACACGCGAACACGCAAACACACCTACAAACACATACACGCACACTCGTCGCCCCACCTCTTGATTATCATCTTGATCACCGAGTGTTGCGCGTGCCGTGTTGCTTGTAATCCCCGCCGCTGCTGCCACTGCACTTGAGCCTTCTCGTGCCTGCAGTCATCCAAGGAGGAGGTGCACTTCAATCCAAGCACATCCGTGCACACGCATGCGTTGACACCAACACACCCACATCCACACACACCAAACCCACCCGTCAATTTGACAACCGCACACACAGGCCCAGTCAGTGGCCTCCGGCCCGCTGGGCCAGCTGCCCGACCCCAGCCGCCCCACAACCGACGCCGGCGACGAGGCGTCCGGCGGCGGCGCTTCGCACAACAACTCTACAACGGAGGTGCGGCCCCGGCCCAGCGCCCTGCAGTTCTCGGGGGCCCCAGCATGTGTGCTGGGGCCCTGGGCCTGCGGCTGGCGCGGCGCGGCTGCTGCCTGGCTGAGCCCTCTGCCCGGTAGCAAGCGGTCACTCGATCTTGTGACCCTACCTGGCGGGCTCCACTCGGTCGCATGCCGTGGCAGGCCTGCCGCCCATCCGCCCGTGGACGCGTATGCTTGTCAATTGGCGCTCACTCACATTGGAACCTGCACGTACTTTTTTGCCCACCTGCCAACATACACACACACACACACACACACACGTGTACAGACTCACAATCACACGCGCAAGTGCACCCCCTAGGTGCACCAAAACCAAACTCAAACACCTCTAACACATATAAATCACGCGCACAATGCAACAAACAGTTCTCCTCCGACACGCCCGGCGGCCCCGCCTCGCGCCGCGCCAGCCGCCGCCTGTCAATGGTCAGCGGCAAGCGGCTCTGCACCGAGGCCATGCTCAAGGTGCTGCAGCAGGAGATCCGCAAGGGCCGCCGCCGCAGCCTGGAGGCTTCCCTGGCGTCTGACCTGGTGCTCGTGGAGCCCATCGGGTGCGGCGGCTTTGGGAGCGTGTTCTTTGGCACCTGGCACGCGGTGCCCGCGGCGATAAAGGTGAGGGGGTTGCTCCTCATGTCTCTCTCGCACCCGCCCCTTCCCTCACCCTGCACGCGCCGCGCCGCTCCGGCTGCTCCGCCGCGCGCCGCGACCCATGCGCTCCGGCGGGCCGCGCGCCGACACTGCCTGCGCGCGGCGCCCCCTGTTTGTCAGGTGATGAACGCGCGGCGGAGCGACAGCGAGGCGGTGTCTGACGCGATGGAGATGGCGGTGCTGTCCAGCGTGCAGCACCCCAACATCGTCCAGGTCTACTCCTGCCTCACAGACATGGTGCCCGAGGAGGACATTGAATGTGAGCGCCAGCTCACAGCCTGCGCGTTCGCTCGTCCATTTTGCTGCCTGTGCCTGCACATGCGGCGTCCGTCGAGGATATTAGAGGCCGCATGCCTTCGTGCCGCCCATGCGCATGCGGCCGGGCTGCCCTTCCTTTTTGCCCACTCATCCTGAAATCACCCATCTACGCACCCCCCCTCGCTGCGCCACGTGCCGCCACCGGCGCCTTTCCCCGCCCCCCAACGCCTCGCTCGGCCCTGGCGCCCTCAAAACCACACACACACACACACACACACACACACACACACACACACACACACACAAACACACACACACACACGCGCGCGCGCGC